CATGGTTTAGGGGAAGGATACAGGAAGCTGTCTCAGAGACTTCAGCTGTCTGTTTCCACCGTTAGGAACATACTGATGAAATGGAAGACCACAGGCGCAGTTCAAGTTAAGGCTCCAAGTGGAGGAACAAGAAAAATCTCAGATCAACAGACAAGAAGAAAGGTGAGAGCAGAGTCGGCCACAGACCAGTGTAGTGGTGGGGATTAGTTTATTACATTTATTTAATAATAAATAAGATGTGATGTTTCATATAAATATGAATCATCAATCTAATTGGTCTTTGAATATTTGATTTAATATTACCTTAGGGTCTTTTGGAATATTCAGGGAACACACACTTCATATTAATTCAGCCAGAGTCAAGTATACAGTTATAAACATGAAATTAGTTCTATTTTCTGTCATGAATCGGTTAGGAGGAAGTTAGGACCCAAGATACAGAGAACCAGACGGACGAGGCAGGGGTGGAAGATGAAATAAAATCCTTTATTTTTTGGGATAATCCAAAGGCAGGGAGCAAAAAACCAAAAAAAAAAAAAAAAACCTAAATAAGAGATCAAAAACACTAGAAGCACTGGAAACACTGGAGAGCGAACGAGAACGAGTATGACAGAAACAATCGACCGACAAACACACTGAGACACAGACATGGTTTTATACACTGGGGAGGATGAGAGGGAGATGAATTGCAGGTGTGCGGGGAGAGAGAGACCAGGTGAACTCAATTACTAATCAGGGAGGAAACAGACATGATCAAAGAATAAAGCCTAAAGACAAGAAGAGCAGGAAACATAACTAATAATCTAACGGTGGGAGGTGGTGGTGGGGGGGGGGGTAGAGAAAAACCACAAACACCGGAGGGAAAAACACACTAAAGAGACTAATAACATGAACAGCTGCAACTAAAGGAAAATGACCTGAGAGAAAAACCTAAAGACCAGAAGGGCAGCAAACATAACTAATATTCTAAGGGGGAAGCTGAAACTAAAGGAAAACACTACAGAAAGAAAAACTACAGGGGCGTGACTAAAAGGGGGCCAAGGGAGCACAGGACCTGGGAGGGGGATGCTTGAGGAGGGAAACCTAGAGGGCTGAAGATCTGGGGGCAAATGGGGAACACCAGGAGACACAAGAGGAAGATGCAGACAAGGACACATGAGGGCGCTAGGAGACACAAAAGGAGAACCTAGAGAGGGATGGAGAACACAAGGAGACACACGAGGGGAGACGCAGACTCAGACCATGACATTTTCCTGAACTAGTGATTATACGCTACAAAGTATGAATGAAATGATGTGATGGAAGCTAGATGTTTTAGCAAAACCTGGTCAAGTGTCTGAGTGATCTTGTGACGTCAGGGTTGTAAAACCAGTTTGGCTGTTGGGTTAATAAGCTAGAGATTATTCATGAAAACATCCAACACCATTTGTGCTGAGTCGAAGCACCTTAGTGTTGAAGGTCCCTGTGCACTTCAGGGGTCAGGAGGTTGGTATGGACACTGCCGACAGAGTGGACCTCTGGGCAACGGAACTCGTAGATCCAACACGTTCTCACATCCAAAGCGTTGAAAACTGATGAAGGGTGACCAAGCGTTTGTTTCCAACGTGTCAGGGGGTGACACGCTGTGCTGGGTTAAGGTTAGGACAGGGTGAGGGGAAGATTAAATCACTAGAGGTCAGAGGTTAAATGTCGATGAAATGTCCGTTTTACCGTGGGCGTCAGAAAGAGACGCGGTGGCACAGCGTGTCGCCTCCCGTTTCCGACGCGTTGGAGCTCCAAACGCATCGGGAGGCAACTCTTGGTCACCCTTTGTTATTTTTCTACGCTTTGGGTGAGAGAATGTGTTGGTAGTTCAGCTCCGAGCATGACCCGTCTAGTCTGAGATACCCTCCAGGTGACGGCAGGAAGCTGGCGTATCTATTTAGCCTCTGAGGCTGTTGTGTCTGATTTCACTCGCAAGCGTTGCAGAGCGACTGTGACCTTGGTCAAAAGAGAGGATGGCTCCAAATGCTTGCTCACCCGTTCGGCCTAATCGAGAGGCAGCTGGAGAACTGACTAGATCAGGAAGTGATCCTTGTGTTTATTAAATGTTGTTGACAAATTTAGACAAATCAGAATTTGACAAGTTTAAAGGGCGTTACCAAAGACCTCAGAGATTCACTCCCTCACTCAGATGCTTGGAGGTTAACTCTTAGTGTGGAGTGAAAGTGTTAAACATTAATAATAATATTATGATATTATTGTGTTCATATTAATAGATTAAATTACTAGAATCAACAATACTGATCTGGTGTAATTTAAGATCTGAAATGAATCATTACAGGAGAAATATTCATTATAACTAGGGATGGTACCTTTGACATTTGAATCGATCCGGTACTAATTCCCGGTACCTACGAATCGATACCGGTACTTAACGGTACCAATTTTTGATACTTTTGAGTGTTTATTATTTTAATTCTCTTTTATAATTAAATATATATTTTTCTCAATATATAACAATATTTGATAAATATCATGATAAATAACATACAACTGTTTGTATTTTAACATTGTCCTTGTAGTTTTATAAGCTGATAATTAAACTGAAGCAAACATCTTTACTGTGAACTAAATTTACTGTGTATCTTCATTCCTTTTGCCGTCTTTTTTCATTTGATTTTTCCTACTGGGAAGTTAGAATTTCCGAGGAGAAAGCGAACGCACCATTAGCTGATAACAATGGTAGCAATGGAAGCTAACATACCAAGCTAACGTTATCTTAAACAGTTTATTTAGCTGCTGGAGCAGATTAAAATGATGATGCCTCACACTTAGATCGTTGTCGCTGGTTTCATCTTCACCCAATCACCCGTCGCATTTAGTGAAGTGAAGCCAAACTTTAGAGCGCGTTCATGTTCTAGTCGGAAATTCGGAGTTCCGAGGAGACAGCGGAAGCACCATTAGCAAAACGGAAGCTAACATATCAAGCTAATTATATTTACCTACCGGAGCAGATTAAGATGAGGATGTCTCACTTAGATCGTTGTCTGTCGCTGGTTTCATCATCACCCAGTTACCCATCACATTTAGTGAAGTGGACCCAAGCTTTAGCGTGCGTTCTTTCTACCATGCTGCTCTGTTTACAACTGGCTCGCAGCGACCGACGACATAACGCTCTTGCGCATGCGCAGCT